TGTGACCACAGTCAAGCTAGATGGAACTAATTATCTGGCTTGGGTCACAATCAGTAAAAATTCATATTTGTAGTAGAGGCAAATGGGGTTTTATCTCYRGGAGCAAAAAGGCTCCTCTGGAAGATGATCCATCATATGAAAAGTGGATGCAAGAAAATTATATTGTTATTGGATGGCTTGTGAACTTAATGCAACCACAGATTAGTCAACACTATTTGTGAATGAATTCAGCAAAGGAAATTTGGGATAGTGTTGCTGAAACATATTCCCAAAAATTAAATGTAGCCAAGGTTTACAAGTTGAGAAGTGATGTGAAGAATTTGAGACAGGGGGAGAAACCATTAGTTGTATACTTCTCAACATTGAAGTCTTTATGGCAAGAAATAGATTTAACAGAAGTTGTAGCCTGGGACACCACTAAGGATACTGAGACCTACAGAAAACTGGTTGAGAGAAACAGGGTGTTTGAGTTCTTGACAGGGTTAAATCCAGAATACGACATTACAAAGCAAAATATTTTATCCAAGGATAGTGTCTCACTGTCTCAAGCATATGCCTTGGTAAGTAGTGAAGAAAGCAGAAGACTTGTCCAGGGCCAAGGGACTGGTCTAAATGATCACTTTGCTAATATGGGAGTGAAACCTAAGGGGGTTGCAGGGACTCCAAGTAGCTCAGGGAAGAAAGAGATTATCTGTGAGTACTGTAAAAAGCCAAAACACACTAAAGACAAGTGTTGTAAATTGCATCCTGAGCTCCTACCACTTCGGTTTTAGAAGAAGTTTGATAATATAAAGGCAGGGAATGCCAATGTTGTTGTTGGTCCAGATAGTGATAGATACCAAACTAAAGAGATGACGGCTAGTGAGCAGTTAGCAGCTATGAAGGCAGAATATGAGAAGTTTGGGAGGATGATCAGTCACCTAGAGGGTGTGACCTCTTCTTCCAACACTCCAAGAAATTCAACCTCTTCCACATTTGCTCATTCAGGTATACGGGTTTCTGCCAATCATACAACCATTTCAGGTAATCGTAGGATCTCTTGGATTATTGATTTTGGTGCTTCTGATCATATGACCAGCCTTTCTACTTTGTTTGTTTCATATGATTTACTTCCTAGATGTGACAAAATCACCCTAGCCAATGGCTCTCTTGCCCCTATTTCCGGCAAGGGAACCATCAAGGCTACAGACTCCTTGGTTCTTCCTTCTACTCTTCATGTACCCAGACTAAATACAAACTCGTTATCTGTAAATAGCCTTAACTAAGTCATTAAACTGTTGTGTAACCTTCTTCCCTTCCCACTGTGTTTTTTAGGATTTGGAGTCTCAGAAGGTGATTGGGAGTGGCCGTGAGGCGAATGGAATATATCTGTTGGATACTCCAGGACAGTGCCATGAACAACCTGGAAAAGTTGCTTTTAGGTCTACTTCTACAGAGTCCATCAGTCGAGTCATGTTATGTCATTTTTGTTTGGGTCATCTTTCTTTTTCTGCATTAAGTCATTTATTCCCAAAACTGTTTAAGGGAATTAGTTTGTCCAGTCTTCATTGTGAGTCTTGTGAACTGTCAAAACACTATAGAAACAGTTATCCTCTGAGTAATAAAAGATCTTCTTCTCCTTTTAATATTGTGCACTCTGATGTGTGAGGGCCTTACCACTTACCTTCTATGAGTGGCTACAAATAATTTATCTTGTTCATTGATGACTTTTCTCGATTCACTTGGATATTTTTATGAAGTCCCATGATGAAGTTCCCAAACTTGTGAGGCAATTCCATGAATTTGTCCTAACCCAGTTTGATACCATAATTAAATTTTTCAGATCCGACAATGCAAAAGAATATTTTGAGAAAAATCTGACCTTCTATTTCACTGATTTAGGGGTTATTCATCAAAGCTCCTGTGTTAGGACCCCATAATAGAATGGAGTTGCTAAAAGAAAAAATAGACATATTGTTGAAGTTGCAAGAAGTACTCTATTTGCCTCACATGTCCCTACAAAATTTTGGGGTGATGTTGTTCTCACTGCTACCTACCTTATAAACCGTATGCCATCCAGGGTTTTAGGGTTTAAGTCTCCCTTCAGTCTTCTTCATCCGGACAATGATCTTTTTCCTATTCCTCTTCGTGTCTTTGGTTGCACTTGTTATGTACATATCCCAAGTGTCCAGAGACATAAATTTGAACCAAAATCCCACAAATGTATCTTCCTTGGTTATTCCCCCACACAAAAGGGTTACTGTTGTTTTGATCCGAAGACTGGCACTCGATATGTCTCAATGGATGTCACCTTTGATGAGATTTCTTCCTTTTATGGTTCTTCCCTAGAGAAACATTGTCCAAAGGGGGAGGATTTGTCACAGGTGTTTGCTCTACCTCTTCCTGTCCCAGTTGAGTCTTTTGTTGAGTCTCTTCCTCCTTCAAATGAGTCAAGGGAGGATCAATCACTTCACTCTCATTCAAGTGTTCCTATTCCTCCTCCTTTACCTCCTCGGCCTCTTTTTAATCCCAGGTTGTACCAATGGCAGAGAACCAGAAATGAGCAGATTGTTTCCCCTCCAACACATGAGCTTCATGCACTTCCAGTTACAGATGAGACAATAGGTACTGTTATAGCCCCTTTGGAGCCATCCTTCCTAGACCTTGATATCCCCATTGCTATTAGGAAAGGAAAAAGGAAGTGTACTGCACATTGCATTTCTAAACACCTTTCTTATAGTTTGCTCTCTCCTTCATATTGTGCCTACCTTTCTTCTGTTGCTTCTAACCCAATTCCCAGGTCTGTGTCARAAGYTCTTAMTATTCCARAATGGAGRRATGMTATGAGAACAGAAATTGATGCCCTGCACAAGAATGACACTTGGGAAGTGGTTGATTTGCCTGAAGGGAATGATCCATTAGGTTGTAAGTGGGTTTTTACTATCAAATATCACGTTGATGGCACCATTGAAAGGTACAAGGCTAGGTTGGTTGCAAAAGGCTATACACAGACATATGGGATTGATTATCTGGAGACCTTTGCCCCTATTGCCAAGATGATTTCTATGAGAGTTCTACTATCTTTGGTTGCACACTCTGACTGGCCACTTTATCAACTGGATGTAAAGAATGCATTTCTGAATGGAGAGTTACATGAGGAGGTCTGTATGTCTCTTACTCCAGGGATGTATGAAACAGATATGAAAGGAAAGGTCTGCAGGCTGAAGAAATCTCTTTATGGACTCAAACAGTCCCCTAGAGCATGGTTTGAAAGGTTTAGGGCTGCCCTTGTTAGTTTTGGCTATGTACAGACACAGTCTAATCATACCCTCTTTGTGAAGAGGAGAGGATCCTTGGTCGTTTACCTGATTGTGTATGTTGATAATATTGTTGTGACTGGTAATGATGTCTCAGGGATTAATGATCTCAAATCTTTCCTTCATACAGAGTTTGAGATCAAAGATCTAGGGGAATTGAGATACTTTCTTGGTATAAAAGTTGCTAGATCCAAGGATGGGATCCTTATCTCTCAAAGAAAGTATGTTCTTGATTTGCTCTTTGAAACAGGGAAGAGGGGTGCTAGACCAGTTGCTACTCCTTTCGATATGAGCCATAAACTCTCTGCTTCAGATGGAATATTGTTAGAAGATAAGGGAGTCTTCTAGAGACTACTTGGAAAACTTCTTTATCTATGCATGACTTGGCCAGACATTGCATATGCTGTCAGTTGCATCAGTCAGTTCATGCATGCTCC